CTCTCAACTTGCTAACGGGAATTGTGTATTCAGTATTTTGGAAAATAATTTGGCATTATCTAATAAAGTTGAAGATCCTCATACCATACATCTACGACTTCCCTAGGCTTAGAATTCTGTCTCGAACATGTAAACAAGACAACACTTCTAAGAATGTTTATTACAGTACTGTTAATAATAGCAAAAAAGTCAGAAACACCTAAATATCCATAAATAAACTGATTTATGCATATAATAGAATACTATAGAGCAATCAAGATAAATGAACTAAAGATACATCCATCAACATGGATATATGTCAAAAAACAATGTTGAACAAAAAAGCAAGTTGCGGAATCATATGTACATTAAACAAGAGTATATGTACTTTTATGGACATATACATATCAGTAAATGAATAAAAATATTATGGGAATAATAATTACCAAATTCATGATAGTGTTTACCTCTAAGGAGAGGGCAAGAGTGGGGAAGCGGATAGCAGAGATTCATACAGGCCTCAATTGCACCTGTAATTTTATCCCTTTAAAAAATACATATTGAAAAGAGACCACGCAGTTAGAAAAGAGGGGGACTCACACAAACTAAATATGATGGTCTATAATTATATGATCATTACATTTTTTCTGTTTGAAATATTTCATATTTTAAAACAAATTTGAATTAAAACATTAGAGACCTCATTAAAACACATATTCCACTGGACACCTGAAATGGAAACATACTAATACCCACAATCTTATTGATACATATATATATATTTTTTTTTTTAAGCAATTAAACTTCAGGCACCAGATTTGTCTTCTCTTTCCAAGCAGACCCTGACATAGCAGACTTTTTCATTTCACACTCTAAATAATGCTTCCCAACCAAGAGAGTCACAAAAAGGGGGAAAAAATAGTTTGACAATAAGTCAATTTAATTTTCTGATTCGAAGAAAGAATGAAGGATATAAATAACAATTTGCAGAAAAGGAAGCTCTATAATAAATAGATGTAAAGTTCAACCATACTTATAATCAAGGAAAAGCAAATTAAAATGAAATTTAATTTTATTTAAAATGTAAAAGTCTGACAGTATCAGTGCTTATAAAGATATAGGAAAATGGGAACTCTCTCAACTTGCTAACGGGAATTGTGTATTCAGTATTTTGGAAAATAATTTGGCATTAACTAATAAAGTTGAAGATCCTCATACCATACATCTATGACTTCCCTAGGCTTAGAATAATTCTGTCTCGAACATGTAAACAAGACAACACTTCCAAGAATGTTTATTACAGTACTGTTAATAATAGCAAAAAAGTCAGAAACACCTAAATATCCATAAATAAACTGATTTATGCATATAATAGAATACTATAGAGCAATCAAGATAAATGAACTAAAGATACATCCATCAACATGGATATATGTCAAAAAACAATGTTGAACAAAAAAGCAAGTTGCGGAATCATATGTACATTAAACAAGAGTATATGTACTTTTATGGACATATACATATCAGTAAATGAATAAAAATATTATGGGAATAATAATTACCAAATTCATGATAGTGTTTACCTCTAAGGAGAGGGCAAGAGTGGGGAAGCGGATAGCAGAGATTCATACAGGCCTTAATTGCACCTGTAATTTTATCTCTTTAAAAAATACATATTGAAAAGAGACCACGCAGTTAGAAAAGAGGGGGACTCACACAAACTAAATATGATGGTCTATAATTATATGATCATTACATTTTTTCTGTTTGAAATATTTCATATTTTAAAACAAATTTGAATTAAAACGTTAGAGACCTCATTAAAACACATATTCCACTGGACACCTGAAATGGAAACATACTAATACCCACAAACTTATTGATACATATATATATATTTTTTAAGCAATTAAACTTCAGGCACCAGATTTGTCTTCTCTTTCCAAGCAGACCCTGACATAGCAGACTTTTTCATTTCACACTCTAAATAATGCTTCCCAACCAAGAGAGTCACACAAAAGGTAGGAACAAATAGTTTGACAATAAGTCAATTTAATATTTCTGATTCTATATTCTACCTAAAAAGGCGGTAGTTTTGCTGCTCTGCTGGCAATTTCACTATTTTTATTGGTTTGTTGCTAAAGTTGTTTTCCATTAAAAAAGAAAGAAATAGCAGCCACTGCAAACTCTGATAATCAAAGAACAAATTCCAAAGAGTAAAAAGTTATATCAGATTGACTATGTCACATAACAAGAACCTTAGCACTCCATAATAATTTGCTGTATCGGCTTCCTTAAAGCAAATAACTTTTTCAGGTCTGAACCTAAATAATAAAACAAACACCAACTACTCATTTAAAAAAAGTTATCTTACTTCCTTCATTCTGCTCTATCTGCAAGAAATCCATGTAGCCTATCTTATAGCTTACTAGAATTTCTCTCCAGCTATATGTTGTACTATTGCTCTACCAAACCATTTACCACTAAACCCTCAATATATCCACTTTTGCATCTTCTTATTCTCAAGTGTCACTTTCTATGTCTTCCCTAATCCCACCAACCTACAGTAATCTTTCCACTCTGAACCAAAAAATAGTAATAGCTAACATAGAGAATTTAATATATCTCGGTATTGCTTCAATGGAATTATCCCATTTAATCATACAATCCTGTGAAATTTGTTCTAGTCTTCTCTTTTTCATGGTGAAACTGAGTGAGGCTCTCTAAGGTTACGTTCTCCAAGGTTGCATGGATACAGGTGACAAGCGAGCTCTCAAACCCAGACTTCAAAATTTAAGGGCTTAAACATGTGATGCTGTCTCCCGGCTCAAGGTATTGCCTGCCTTTACTATTCATATGTCACTTAACATATGCCCTGTGAATTTAACATTTATGTTCGTAGATGCTGTCTAGACAGCTCGAAATATTACATTCATTCAACAAAAATTTACTGAAATCCTGTATGCCATGCTTTGTTGACTACTAGGCTTAAAAGCATGTTACAGAGCTGCTTCAAATGAAAAGATGAATTCTCTAGATACATGGACATCCCAGAAATATGGGTAAAGCACAAAATTAATAACAATATGTACACAGCAAGTATAACTACATAAAAACTATGTTTAGATAAGAACTGGAAAAGAGCATAACCAAATATGAGAAAGTTGGTTTTAACTATTTCATCAAATTAAGCTTTTTAATAAGAGTGAAGCAACAAAAAGACATTAAAATTAAGTAGTGCATTTTGTGTGCTTTCTTTTCCCATATAACAGCAGAAATACCCTAGAGACAGATGAATGAACATTCCTCATAATGTTCCAATGTAACTTGGCTTTCTTTAGGCATATACAACTGATGTCACTAGATAGTAAAACTTGCAGACACTCTAGGTTAATAGTATCTATATAAATCTTCCTACAATTATAAACTCTTGGGAACTTGTAGCTGATTGCAAATTTTCATATAATGAAATCAAATCTTTAAACACAATGAAACCTTGCAGAATATCTCCTTCAGCCCTCTCACTTTACAAATTAGTTGATTATTAAATTCTAAAATTTTAATTCTGAATTAATGAAATACAGCAACCTATACTGCTGAAATGTACTGGCTTATATTGCAATAGAAATGTATTTTAGAAATAAAGTCTATGTGTGCTACCTTCAGCCCACCATGTGGATTTCTGATTTTAATTACTGTGTCTTCCTGAACTTAACCTCTTCAGGCCTGGATATCTTCATTTAAGATAAATTCTAACCACTGTTGAAGGTCATAGTAAATATTTAAAAGACCTCAACAACATTAAGTTGCCATAGTAAATGACACTTTTAATATTCTTTCACAACGGAGTTTGCATCCGCTGCCTTAAAAGGTAAAATGAACAGTATATATTCCTCATGAACCTGTCCGCACAAGGACAGGCGCGCGCGCGCGCGCGCGCGCACACACACATACACACACACAAAACCCTAAGATGGTGCCACGGAACACACACACACACACACACACACACACAACCCTAAGATGGTGCCACGGCATTGCAGAGTACTGTACTTTACTGTACAACCCTCAAACCTGACGGCCCTAAAGCCGAAAGCATGGAAAAACAATAAATCTGACACCAGCTCTACCTACTGCTTTCAAAAGCTTGACGCCTACTGGAGTCAAACCCCCAAATTGTGCTTGCAACTAATGGTTCAGGACTCAGATCTGAATCTCACTCTCTGCTCGCCGGCTTCAGGGGTCCCCAAGAAAAGTAAAGGGGCTGACCGCCACTGAACAGCTGACTTTGGAGCCATTTAGAAATAAGCATATTTTTATTGCGGCTTGCAATTCGATGTAAGCTTTCCAGGAAGTGCTGCAAACGACAAAACTGGCATGCGGTCTATCAAGTTGGCAACTCGTTGTGATTCTTGCTAAAAGGCCGTCAACCCTGCATCCTACCACAGCGACCGCTAGCTCCCCGGAGTCGACCCGGAACGCGCAGGCGGTAGGAAGCCCTGTTAAGAGAGGCAGAAAGGGTGGCCTCTAGTGCGGACGGGGGGACGCCTGGCGTCGGCCGGAAAAAAAATAGGCAGAACTTAGTAAAGGGGTGTCTCCCTGGGGCGGGATGGGGGCTGCCACCAGTGAGAAAGAAGAGCGGGGTGACGCGGCGAGACTGGCAGAGCAGGCGAAGGGCCGCGCTCCGAGGCTAAGGCAAGTCCCAGCGAGCCTACAGCGGGAAAACAATGGCGCAAGCGTGACGTGGGGCCAGAGGCGTCGCCGCGGCGCAGAGGGGCTGCGCTGAGATAGGGGCGACCCGGGACAGGGGGGCGTGCGGAGACGCGGTGTGGAGTTCCCGGGTACGCAGGCGAGCGCTCGGACGGAGAGGGGCCTGAGGGGCGCAGCGGCCCGGATGAAGACCGGGCCAGGGCTTGCGACGGCCCCGGCTCCGGGTCGCGCGCTCCGTCGCGCACCCTTCTCCCTCTCTTGCTCGCTCACCCGCTCCTTCCCCTCCCGCCCGCGGGTCCCGCCGCACTCACCGACCCGCCGCACGGCAGCAATCCCAGCGCGCAACTGCCGCAGCCGCTTCCGCGCGCGCCCTCCTTGTCCCCGCCACCCAGGCCCCGCCCCCAGCTCGCGCCCGGCCAGGGACCGGCGCGCTGTTCCGTCCCCTGGCTTCGCCGCAGAACAGGCCCGCGCGACGCTCCCTGGCCACGCTACCCGAGAGAAGCAACGATGTCGGCCTGCGCCTCGGTCCCTCGCAAGGGTTTGGGGATCTTCAAACAGCAAAATGTCGGTTGTTGCCCAGCTCTGGAATGACGCACGTAGACAGCCCTTACGTGTCTTTTAGGTTTACATTCCTGGGCTTTCTGCCCCGGACTACCTCGCCTAGCTTCTCTACCTACACTCCAAAGCATTCCGTTTTTGGGGGGGTGTGGGTAGGGGGCGGAAATGGGGCATCCTTTCTCCCAGTGACAGAATCTTCTAGACAAATGGACTTCTAGGCCCCTCAGGTCCAGACCCCTACATCACGCTTGAATCCCGTTGATGACCAAAAGTACTGGATTTGGAGTATGTTAGATGGGTTGGAATCCCAGTTTCAGCATTTACAAATTGTTTGACTTTGGTTGGATTATCAAACGTCACTATACCTAGTTCCCTCATCTGTAATACAGGAATAGATAACAGTAGTACCTACAGTGTAAGGTATTGACAGGATGAAAGATAATAAAGGGAAGTTGAGCAGTTTTTCATATGCCTATTGCCATGTGTATGTCCTCTTTGGAGAAATGTCTGTTCAGGTCCTCTGTTCACTTTATTTGTATTCCGGTATCTGGGTTTTTTGTTTGTTTGGTAAGTTGTACAAGTGCCTTATGTTTTTTTATTATTCACTCCTTATCAGATGTGTCATTGGCGAACATCTTCTCTCATTCAGTAGGTCGTCTTTCATTTTGTTGATTGTTTCTTCTGCTGTGCAAAACTCTTTAGTTTGATGTAGTCCCAATTGTTTAGTTTTTCCTTTGTTTCCCTTGACTGAGGAGGCATAGCCCAAAAAAGTATTACTAAGAGCAACATCGAAGAATTTATTGCCTATGTTTTCTTTTAAGGGTTTTATGATTTCAGGGCTTACAGTTAAGACTTTAATCCATTTTGAGTTTATTCTTGTATATGGTGTAAGAAAGTGGTCCAGTTTCATTCTTTTGCATCTGTCTGTTCAGTTTTTCCAGCACCATTTATTGAAGAGACTGCCTTTACCCCATTGTATATTCTTGCCTCCTTTTTCATAGGTTAATTGACCAGCTAGGTGTAACATCCCTAATCATCAGAAAATGCCAATTAAAACCATAATGAGGTATCACCTCACACCTATCAGAATGTCTAGCATCAATAAATCAGCAAACAACAGGTGTTGATGATACCTGGAGAAGAGGGAACCCTCATGCACTGTTAGTGGGACTATAAATTGGGGCAGCCACTATGGAAAACAGTATGCAGGTTTCTGAAAATATTAAAACTAGAACTACCATATAACCCAGCAATTCCATTTCTGGGTGTTTTTCCAAAGAAACCCAGAACACTAACTCAAAAAGACATATGCACCCCTGTATTCATTGCAACATTATTTACAATAACCAAGATATATAAGCAACCTAAATGTTCACTGATAGACAAATGGATAAAGATGATGTGGTACATATATACAATGGAATATTACTCATCCATGAAAAAGAATAAAATCTTGCCATTTGCAACATGAATGGACCTACAGGGTATTATGCTAAGTGAAATAAGTCAAAGAGACAAATACCATGTGATTTCACTTATGTGTGGAATCTAAACAAAATAAACAAACAAGCAAATCAGAAACAAACTCATAGATACAGAGAACATTTTGATGGTTGCCAGATGGAAGAGGGGTTGGGAGGATGGGTGAAAAAGGGGAAGCGTTTAAGAAGTACAATTGCCAGTTATAAAAACAATCATAGGGATATAAAGTATACCATAGGGAATATAGTCAATAATATTGTAATAACTATGTATGGTGTCAGGTACGAGACTTATCGGGCTGATCGTAAGTTATATAAATGTCTAATCACTATGTTGTACTCCTGAAACTAGTATTTTTAAAAATTTCTTTAAAGATGATAGAGTGAAGGTCTTCAACACAGTCCTGGAACATAGCGCTCAAAAAATGTCAGTTATTAATCAACTGCCCCATCCAGCCACACACCCACTACCAAACTGCATCTGCAAGAAAACTCCTCATTGATAGATTATTTACAGAGCAAAGGCATTCCTTGGTCTCAGCATCTCTGACCAGGTCTCAGCAGTTCTGACCAGTTTGTAAAGTGTTTCTGAAACTTCCACCCTCTGGCTCAAGTCCTATCCCTTGGAGCCTCAGAGAACCAACAGATCTAATCTCTCTTGACCTTCTACTTTTCAGATACTTAAAGACTTCTGCCTGAAGTCTTATTCCAGTCCATGATCTCCCATTCCTTCCATTGTTCCTCCTTCACCCTGGTTTTAAATGTCTTTGTCCTAATACTCCCCAGCACCTAGTTGGTCTGAGTATGTCAACCAAGACTGAACCAAATTGTGGCACTATCAGAGCAAAGCAGGACTGTAGCTGCTTCTTCGTAGGACTTATTGCTATGCATTCATGCAATGAAGTCCTTGGCACCTGCACTATTGACCCACTGAGCCTGCAGTCAACTAAAACCTCCAAAATGTTTTAATATGTGCTCTTCTGGAGCATTTCTACCCTCTCTTGTGTTTTTGAGCCAACTTCAGGTCAGGTCAGCTGAGGACAGGCTTTGGGCCTCTTACCAACTAGATTTTTCAGGATATGTGGAAAAAAGGAATAGGAGTTGGAAGTTAGTCCAAAACCATCACCACCCAAGTGCATTTGGAAAAAGTTCAGGGTTTGTGTCTAAAGACCATGGCACTGAGAAAATTATATGTGTGTGTGTGTGTGTGTGTGTGTGTGTGTGTGTACATATATATATATATACACATATATACACAGAGGGACACAATGTGATCTCAACAGCAAAAAAAATGTACATGTACACACAAAAAAAAATAGACTAAAAGTTTCAAAACTGAGTATGTTAACAGTGGTTTTCTTTCAGTGACAAGACAGGGTGGTTTCTTTTTTTATTTAGACTATTAAATAATTTCCTAGATTTTCTATGTTGTTTATATTACTTTTATAATCAAGAACTTTGTTTCAAAACAATCAGAAAAAAATTTAAAATTTCAGAGAAATTGAATAACTCAAAAAAATAGAAAACAAAGGTAAGAGAGAACAGACTAGTAGAAAACATTTATAATATATAAAACAAAGGATTTGTATCTGGAACATATAAAGGACTTTTAACAAATCCATAAGAAAAAAAATCCACTAGATAAATGTGCAAAGAATATAAAGAGACAGTTCACAGGAAGGAAATAAAAATTGCTAAATAAACACACAAAAAGTTGCCCAATGTCAGTAGTAACCAGGAAAATGGAAATTAAAACTGATATTAGCAACAAGTTTCAAGCTTCACAACATCAAGAGAATGTAAATTGGCACAGCCACTTTAGAGGGCAACTGGACATCCATTAAATTCATGTCTCAGCAATGCCACTTCTAGTTATCGACCATAACTCTAGGTGCATATGGAGGTATGTACAAAGATAATCTCTACAATATTGCTAATAAAGAAAATTTGGAATTAACCTAAATGCCCACCAATAGGGGAATGGCTAAATGAAATGTAGAATAGTCATATCATAGAATTGTGTAGAGAATTTAAAAGAAGTGACCTTGATTTATAGCTTAATACAGATATATCTCAAAAATCATTGAATAAAAACAGCAAGTTGCAGCATAAGATATATATGTACATATACATATAGAATTGATACACATATATAATTGCTATTTTAAAAAATTCTTCCCCAAAATACATAATCCAATCATGAAAACTCATCAAATTGAGGGATATTCTACAAAATCCTTGACCTGGACTCTTCAGAAGTGTCAAGGTCATGAAAGCCAAGGAGAGACTGAGAACTATCACAAATTAGAGGAGACTAAAGAAACAAGACAACTAAATGCAATGTGGCTATCCTGGATGGGATCCTGGAACAGCAAAAAGGCATTAGTGGAAAATCTGGTGAAGTTCTAATAAAGTCTATAGTTTAGTTAATAGTATTTTACCAATGTTAATTTCTTAGTTTTAATCATTGAACCAGGGTTATGTAAGTTGTTAACATTAAGAGAGGTTGAGTAAAGGGTATACTGAAACTTTGTGTACTATCTTTGCAATGCTTCTGTAAATCTATTTCAAAATTATTTCAAAATCAAAATTATTTCAACATAAAAAGTTAAAACACAGATATAAATGCCATTATTTCCTGTCATCACTGCTATGGATAGAGTCTGTGTCCCCTATAAATTCATATGTTGAAACTTCATCCCCAGTGCATTTGGAGGCGGGGCTTTGGGAGGTGATTAGGTCCTGAGGGCAGAGCCCTCGAAAAATGAAATTAATGCCCTTATAAAAGAGACCCCAGAGAGCTCCCTCATCCCTTCTACCCTGTGGGAACACGGCACTAAGAGGACCGTCTCTGAATCAGGAGGTTGGCCTTCACCAGACATAAGATCTGCCTGTGCCTTGATCTTGGACTTCCCAGCCTCTAGAATAGTGAGAAATAAAGCGCTATTGTTTATAGGCCATGCAATATATAGTATTGTGCTATGGCAGCCCAATCTAAGACAATTACACATGAAGTTTGCAAAAGATTTTTTGAATAAATTATCGAGCTACATGTCAAACTCATATCAGAAATTATCTCTAATGATAGGGATACGGTACCAAGATTGGTGATAATGTTCAAAGGGAGTAAGATCTATAGTTTTAATGTTTTAGAAGGTAAATGTATTCATGTATTGCTTTCGAAACCAAAAATAAATTGTTTTTAAACGCAAAAGAAAGCAAAAGAACAGGACATTTGGCTTCATGATTTTCGGGGGTAAAACAAGACATGACAACTATGAAAAAACCTTCTAACAGAGGGTTGGGGAGCCTGAGGAAGCAATGAGGAGGCGTCAGCAGCTTTCCCTAGGGGCTCTAATTTAACATTGCCTG